TTATATGAGGGGTCAAAATCCCATGCTCATAAAATGCTCATATATTTTTTTCTCTTCGTTCCCCACGCCCCAAAATAAATAAATAAATAACTATACCAATTTTAGGAAAAGTAAGGAAGTTTGAGCAGTGTGGGTTTTATATTAACAGTTACACATATTTCAAAACGTGAAGTGTAATAACTGCAGTTGCCTCCCTGTCAGAATGACAAAGATCCTCAGTGAAGCACAAGCCCATGTTTCACTAAATTGTAAGTACAACCTATTAAAAAGATCAGTTCAATGCAACTAATGTCGTCTCAGTGTTATTGCATGATGTTAAAATTGGTTTGCCATGAATTTAGTGATGGATTGTAAACATTTTAAATGTAGCATTTAAGTGTTTCTCAGTTACAAGGTTGTTGTTTTAATAAATCAGACACTGATGGTGCAGCGCTGTACTGTACCTCTTTATGGGCTTTTTTTCCTTAACAAATTGTTTTGCGCTGATCAGGGGGTACTTGGCTGAATTTTCTTTTCAAAGGGGGTACATGATTGAAGAAAGTTTGAGAACCACTGGTCTAAAATATACAAATTGATTTGCATTTAACTGTGGGAAATAAGTATTTAGTATACACTCCAAGTCCCCCACTTGGAGTGTGGACCCCCCCTCGCCTTCCGCCAGACCAACCTACCTGACCTCAACCGGACAGACCCCCCCAAAACTCATACCACTAGTTGCACCTTCTCTCAGGCAACAAACATGATGACATGGCACCATCAAACAGAACTTCACCAAATGACAGTCACAACAATGACATTCACCAAGCACGTCTTCAGGAAGAACAAAAGCCTCCAGGATATACACATTTTTTGCAAGTTCTCCAGACACCTAGCCCCACCACACACACTACACAGTCAACACTACATCCATGGAAAGTTCATACACAGACAATACAGTGGAACAGTAAACATACCCCTCGGATCATTTCCACTTAACAGCAGCAATATAGTCAAATCGTATCCTGCACCATCTGCCATGAACGCTATATCTGAAGAGACAAAGCACACCATACTCACCAGACTGAAACAGAACCTTTACAACATTGGGGAAGGTCGTCTCACCACAACCTCAATTAATAATTTCCAATCTCACCTGTTTGTTAACCTGGTTATCTAGGGACTGGAGTCCATTGACCGTTGCACTATTGTATGGAGCAAGAGGATGGACAAACTGGGCACCACCATACAGAGGGGGCTGATTGACAGTTGATTGACAGCCCCCGCCAAAGCCTCCTTCGCCTCTGGTCCACGTTCGGGATCTCCATGGGGGTCCTGTTCCCTTTTTACCAGCAGCCAATTACACTCGACAAACCACACATTTGCCACACCTATCCACAGATCAATAGGCAAATTATTCTCAACCCTGAACACCCAACCCTAACCTAACCCTAACCCTTGGAGTTTTTTCGCCTAGATCGTTTTCTTGAATACTTGAATGAGACGAGTCATTTCCTGTCAATTGTTTCCGTTGATTCGATTGTTTTGCACTTTCAGGCCTCCGAAGATCCTACAGTTCATCTTCGACCTGTCACTAGAACAACATTTCCATGGTCCTTGCTGCTAAAATGAATGTCTGTCCTCTGTTTGGTGCAACCTTTTTGCTGGATTGTTGAAAGTGTCAGAAAGGTGACAAAACTCACAATGGAAGCCACTTTGCCCTCCATACTAATAGAGAACACATTAAACACACACACACGGCTGGCTTTAGCCACTCTAAAGCCAAAGGGCAAAGGTGTGAGCTGCATGACAATACAGTCTTTAATCTAGTGTGTGAATGCACACTGCTCCTGAAGAATGGACTGTAATGGAATGTAAATTCTATCGCCTGCATGGTAAATCATTCTGATCAATATTTCTTCATGTTGGCCGCAGCACTGTAAACCCAGGATACTTTACACCTGTGTCAAACGGCTGACGATATGGGTTAGCTCATATTGATAGTACGGAAAGACGGACAGGAGCGATGATTATAATATTCATAACGACAGCAGTAAGATGACTGAATAATTGATTAATTAGAAAAGGAAAAATCTTGACATGTGCTTGGAAAGCTGATAAAATAAAAGCATAGGGCATATTGCAGGAGTCTTGATATGCATGCTTATTAAACTGACAAACAAGAAAGATTTGGGGAGCAGTTTCAATTTGTGAGGAAACACATGGCAGGCAGCTCAGATGCTGGACGTGGTGATAAAAAGCAGCTTATGGCAGCAAAAATAGATAGTTTATCAAGAGCTGAACAGATATACCATCACCTCATCGCTAAGGGAAAACCCACACCATTGTCATTCTCTTTGCTTCTGTTGGGTTTCAAATGTAATACATTGAAAGGTTTTCTTTCATGCATGATTTATTGATCTCAATATAACAATGTGCAACATATGGAAGCTATTTGAAATTGATTGATTTACTTATTAACTTTGTCATTTTGCAATGAAAATAGGGTATTACTTTCTCATGATTATGGATTATCTTTCAGTAATAAGTCTTTAATGATGAGATCATCTTTGCTACTGCAGTGTACATGTGGAAGTGTCAGCTTTAAGACTAGAAAATAAGAGCTATATATAAATGCAGTCCAATAACCATTTAGCATGGGTTATTGGGTACCGCAAAACAGCAACCTCTATTTATTACTTACTAATGATATTAGTTAAGACTTAATGGCTACTTAGTCTAAGCAAAGTCAATTATGAGTGGCTCATGAGATTTCTAAAGTTTAGAAACTTCTCAACTTTGTTAGTGGCTTAACTGTCCTCCTCCTAAAGTGTTTCTTCTTTTCGTCTCTGTTATTCAAATAATTTAGAACAGTGCTGTCATGTCCTCTCTGCTTCAGAATGATTTGAACTTTTCTGCATGTAAATGGTCTGCAAAGGCTAAAATCCCTGTGTTCCCTCCAGAGGGAGTTTCTCTCCCACTCACTCCCCCCTTCTGCTTGAAACGCCTCCATAGGACTCCCGTGTTCACTTCGGAATGTAGTGACATCACTATGTAACACTCGCTTCTATTGTCTGGTGTTCCAACACATTGAATGAATAGGCTGAGGGGTGGGACATCTCTAAGCGGTCAATATCCCGGTAGATATATTACAAATATGGAACCTGAAAATGAGCATAATAGGGCACCTTTAAAAGCAAGCTAAAGGTTTCTAAAGAACAGCCAGCCGAAGGGAGTCTTTCAGTAAATGATTCACATGTCAAATACATTATATAATAAGATAAGTGCTGAAGTATTTGACTCGTTCCCTTTGTTTGCCTGGACACTGGCCTGCATGTGTCATTCTGAGGATTACACTCATACAACTTGAGTGTACTGTAGTGGATGCTGCGGAAAAATCCAAAGGGCAGAACTGCTGCAAATCTCACATTTTCCGAAGACTGTGTTTTACTTTTATATCTCTATCTCTTGTAATTGTGAGTCTTACTAGACTCTGCAGACATATGATGTTAAGTTAAACTGATAAGAGACAAACGCATTAAACAGAGCAGTCGGTGTTCTGCAAGGCTCTGTTGGTGTAATGTCTCAGCACACTTTGAACTTGCATTCTGTCTCAGACACATCTCATCGTGATGAAATCCAATTAGAGAGGAGGAAGCATCCACACAAATATCTGTGCTCTCTGTGCTCTTATTTTCCTCCTGTGCCCTTGGGCTTCCATTTATTGAATAATTAATTGCCTCAGTCACCCTTGTGCATACAGTACGCGCACACGCCACACACACACACACACACACACACACACACACACACACACACACACACACACACACACACACACACACACACACACACACACACACACACACACACACACACACACACACACACACACACACACACACACACACACACACACACACACACACACACACACACACACAGTACATTTACCCCTAGTTATACGAGTCTTATGCGTGACTTCCCATTTAGAAAATTAGTTCTACTTCGTTTATGGATCTCGTTTATACTGTGCTGCTTGGACGCTAATTTGTTTCACCAATATCACAAAAGGGCAAACCAATTTCAAGTTTGGCTGAAAAGTGGATTCATGCATCCTAATGGTAATGTTCCTAATTGTAATATTGATGGAGTAAGGGGGAATATGCTGCAGGCCATTAATGAGAAAATAACCCTGACAGGGTGAGCGGGAAACAGGCGCTTATTACACGGCTATTTAATAAATAAATCAACGATCTAACTCACAATATTGATTAAAAAAAATAGTATATTGAGAATAAGTATATTTCATTGCCTAACAAGGGCTGTGGTGACAGCAGCGTCAATTAAAATGCAGCAACACTGATCTAGGTTTTTTAACTGTCCACATTTTGTTTTCCATAAACCAGTCTTTAAACACAGACAGAGCCCATATCGTGTTCCTGTTGATGTTTACTTCCTGTCTGTCTTCTTCTGTTGTTCCCGCTCGTGTTTACTTCCTGTCCAGTTTCGTCTGCCGATTTCTCGTCGTCCAGCTCTCTGTTTTTTAAACTCTTTCTCTTGCACTATTTTTTCTCTTTTTCTTTCCCTTACTTGGAACAGTTCACTTCAAAAGTTTCATGCACCCTTTACATAAAAGGAATATTCATATAATGCAAAGTGTTGAAAACAAATTCGTTTTTTTGGCAACAGCTGACGTTAAGTCGACCGGACTTCTTTCTGCCGATTGATATGACTACAGATCGCATTTAGTTCAGAGCATCCTTTGAAAAGCTCTGCTATACTTAGCAGTGGTCTTCTATCAATAAATAGTAGACCTCTGAATGTCCAAATTGACCAATCAGGATCAAGCATTCACCCTGATATAGCCTGAGTCTGCTAACAGGATGTTTTAGATACATGTGTAATGTGTGGAGCTCTTAATAGTTGTTTGACTTCACAATTAATCTTGAAGAAAATCCCAAGAGAGCTATTTCTCTCTTTCCTTCGCTGACATCTACATGTTTCCTTCTGCTGTCTCTCAGGGAGAAGATGCCGTTCCACAACGTGACGGCAGGCCTGCTCTACAAGGGGAACTACCTGAGCCGCTCGCTATCCGACAGCGACAGCGACGTCCTGGCCAGCATCTCCGTGGAGGAGCTGGACGGTGAGTACAGTGCAATCTCAAGAAACTGTACTGCTTTAAGCTAAATGTGCATTTAAAGGCATTGGCTGGTGCTGCCTGCCTTTTAACCCCCATATTGAAAACAGTTTACCTGAAATAAGCATGAGCCAATGATATTTTAACAACTGCTTTATGTTGTCACTCTAACCCAGGGGTCGAGAACCCCGTGGATAAGTGTGCAAAATATTTAAATTGTATTTTCGGATGAACGAGACCGCCGCCAGAGCGCGTCTCCCCGTTACCTGCAGAAGGAAGCCATGCACGCAACGCAGCCCCGCTGTCTTTAACTCCAGGCGACTTTCTGCCGCTTTCCTCCGTGGTGCTGATCGTTTTACCACAGAGGAAAGCACTTCACTAATTCCAAGGCCGTAACCATGGAGTCAACATTGGGGGGGACCAAAAATTCAATCAAAATTTGAATACTAATTTCCTGCCATTCAAAGGGAAAATATATAAAAATTCACTAACACATGGGATACTTTAAAACCTGTTAAACCCCAATATTCATGAAACTGTGTCTCAGGCATGGGCGTAGTAAGCATCCTCAATGTGATTGTGGGTGGGACAATTTTACGGGGGGTGCAGGTGGTGGACCTAACCTCCTCTAGGAGGGTCCGGGGGCATGCTTTTAAATGTTGAAGTTAAATGCATCAATCTGGTGCACTTTGAGAGCAACATTAGGGACTAAATCTATGGATACATCCATTTGTAAGTGTTCCGGCCCAGCCCAGCCCAGCCCAGCCCAGCCCAGCCCAGCCCAGTGGGGTGTGGCCCACTGGGCTGGGCTGGGCCGTTTTGATAGGCTACCTTTGTTCTATCTATCAGTTTCAATTTCAGGGAAACAGGGTTCAGGGGGAGTGGCTGTACGGCTGTACCCGTAGGATAGAAAAGGGGGAAGTGACATGTGACTCAGAGGTGGCGCGGCTGTGGAGAAGAACGTGTTGCCCACATTCTGTTACTGAGTTTAGGCTAGTTAGCTAGCAGGTTTATTGTTTTGGGTGCAGTCACTTTTGCCTCCACTTGCTGTTCAAATAAATGTTGAAAGAAAAAGTAAATCTGTTTACAGTTCTGTTTTATATGGGTGTTGAAAGAAGAAGAGAAGAAGAAGAAGAAGAAGAAGAAGAAGAAGAAGAAGAAGAAGAAGAA